CACCCCTGCTGTGACCTTGACCCTTCTTGGTGGCTGTCCACGGGGACAGGAGTTGTGGGACGTAGCAGAGATGGGTGCTGGGTCCCTCTGGCACCACACAAAATGCCCCCGTGGGTAACTCACGCCCAGCAACTCACTGGTAGAGCTTGAGGGAGGACTTGAGGACCTGGTCCACTTTATCATCAGGGATGGCCGGCTGAATATCCCTCTTCTCACCCAGCACATGTGTGAGGACCTTCATGAGCTCTGGCGAGGCAGCCTCGTTCTCACCCTCTACGATGCCCACCTGGGCACGGCCCCCACGTTCCCGGTCCCGGATGTCCTTGGCCAGGGTCATTGCCTGCATCCAGGGGAGAAGAGGTAAGCCCAGATCAGGGAGGGGGTGGCTGGTCACCCCCATTCCTCCAGGACGGAACCCTGGGACCCCCTGGCCGTACCCTCAGCCTCTCATTTCGGTTGCTCTCGGGGCCATTCCACTGGATAATGAGCTGGCCCAGGTCCAGCAGGAAGACGTCGCCCCGGTTGAAGCTTTTCCAGCTCATCTCCACCTGCAGCAGGATGAGATTGGGAGGGGTGGGTGTCAAGCAGCAGGATGCCTGGGTCCCCACGGCTTCACAGCCCCTGCCTGCCCTCACTCAGTGCTGATACCTCCAGCCTATATTCTTCCTCCCCACCTCAAGAGGGGCTTTTTGAGGTGCAGCTGCTCCTGAGGCAAGGCAGCATCATCCTGCACCCACTTTTGTCCCCTGCTTGAGGGCAGCTGTGTCTGGGGGAGCTCTGGCCTGATCCTGATCCTAAACAGCATGTCTGCATAGAGGTTGGTGGCTGGGAACTCCCCACATCCCATAACTCACCTCTCCCGCTGTCACATTCTTCTTGCCCTTCACATGCAGCAGGCGCTGGATGTTGTAGGTGTTTGTCTCCACATGCTTCATGCCCGAGGCCACTCCACCCTTCTTATAGCTGGGGTGAGTACAGACATAGTGTCAGCCCCGGGTATCCCCTCCTCACTTCAGTGGGGTCCCCCTCCCAACCACATGGGTGATGGGTGGAGCAAGAACAGCTCCAGATCCTCCTCCTACCTCTCACACCCCAGTGGGACAGGGCTGTCCCCATCCCCACTGAGGGTGTCCCCACAAGCCGCATGCAGAGGACCCCTCCCCACTGTCACCCACTGTGGGATCGGGTCCCCAGGGATGAGTGACATACATGAGTCCCTGCTTGAAGTAGGCACGGAAGGTCTCGCTCTCATGTCCCTGGACCTCGCGGTGCTGCACAGCCACTGAGCCCAGGTGATCATCCATCTGGGTGGTGTAGATGGCAGCTGCCCCCTGCTCATCCTGGCTCGACTCCTTGCCCAGCCAGTAGTGGATGTCGTAGGTGAAGCCGCTCCCAGACTTGCGCGTCTGCAGGACACCAGTCCCCGCTAGAACAACCCCTGTGTCCCCAGGCCACTCTGGTCACAGACACCCCTCCCTGCATCCCAGTCCCCCCAGGGCAGAGCCCATTCCCAGTTCCCCATGTGACCCCTGACTGCCCTACCGACAGCAAGACGTAGCAATCCCCCTCATAGAAGTTGCCGTAGCTTTTGGTGGGCACTGGCACCATCTCCATGTTCTGCAGAAGAAAGGGAGATGTCAGCCCCGGTGGGGAACCCCCCACCCCAGCCCTATGCACCCCACTGCCCCCAGCCCCAGAACCTGGGGGGGTTTAACTCTGGATGCTGCACTGAGACCCCCAAAAACAGGCACTGAGTACACAAGGGGAGGACCTTCCCTCATAGAGACCCCCCCAAGCAGCCCAGGCTGTGCCCCTGTCCCCACCTCGATTCGCCATATCTGGATGCCCGGCGTGGTCTTGTTGAGTGTCCTGGTGACTTTGCCGCTGAGCTCCACCATGGTGACAGGTACCACAGGCAAGGGGACCTACCAGCATTGGCAACACCCTCGTTAATGGCAGGCAGTGTCATCAAGACCTGGAACACAGCCAGCCTGCAGTGCCATCTGCTTCCCTGCCCACTCTGTAGACAGCCCAGCCGGAGCTGCACAGGATGAGGGGGACCCTGGCACTGCAGTGTCAGAACTGTGGGCACACAAACACGGCTGCTGTCCCCTCAGCTCAGCTGGCACTGCAGCCACAGCTCCATGCCAGGGTCCAGGGTGGGCAGGAGCAGTAAGTGCCTCAGTGCCCTGCCCTGCACCCAGGCAAGGGACAGGGCTGTGCAGGGCACCCACAGCGCAGCAGCTGCAGCTGGGTGACACTGCTGTGCAGTGGCCTATTCCTCCCCAGGACCAGCAGGAACCAGCCCTGCTCAGCCTTGTCCCGGCACAGCTTGGCACAAAGTGGCACAGCATGACATGGCCACTGCTGGCACCCTTAACACACTCACACGCACACACGTGTGCAAGCTCACTGCCTGCTTCAGATCCCCTGCTTCCAAACCCCCCTCTGGATCCATGCCCCCCAGGGAGGGCACATCCTGGCCCCACAGAGGTGCTGAGTGTGCCAGGGCTCAGCCCTGGTGCTGCCAAAGTTGCCCACAGCCATCTCTGCCAGGCTGGCAGTGCTCCTCATGAGTGGGCAGAGGGGCCAGGCAGCCGGTTTCAGGCAAAGGCCCTGCTGTGCCCTGGCTGGTGGCTGGCAGGGAGAGCTAGTGGTGCCCAGCAGAGAGGCCTCTCTTTCCTCAGCCCTGCAAAACCTCGCCTGGCCCTGCTGTGCTGCCCTATAAGCACCCACATCCCACCCCTCAGACCCAAGTGCAACACCAAGGTGGGGCATGGGTGGGTCCCCAAGTCCCATGCCCAGGCCACCCCAGTGCCAGGAGTGATGGTGGCCGTGGCATGTGCTGTCCACCCCATGCCCACCCTCCGTCCCCTCACCCCACGCCAGCCCCTCACCTTCACCGCAGAGCTGGGCACAGGTGAACCTACCTAGGCGGAGTGCTCAGGTGCCAGCACCCAGGAGACTTTGTCCCCTCATGTCCCAGCCCATATTCACCATATAAGGGCAGGAACAGCCCAGAGTCAAGGTCCCCATGGCCCTCCAAGACTTTGTGGCACCTGAGAGCCCCGTTACTCATGGGGTGTTGCCCCCCCCAGGTGCTATTGCACCCTGCCCACGGGCTGGCTGTGTCTATGCTGGTGCCTCCCCAAGCCTGTTCCTCTTTTGGCCCTTGGCATTCAGCCCATGGTGACTGTTTTTTTGCCCCTCACTAAAAAGTTCCCCAGTGATAGCAATGGGCTGGACCAGGACACATGACCATCAGCCACAAACACAGTGGTGCCCTGATGCCACAGGGATGTGCTTTACCACTGTTCTTCACTCCCCAGACTGCAAAATCCCCAAACCCTCCCAGCCATGGAGCACTAAGAGCATGGCGATGGGATTTTTTTTGGTGCCTCCTCCCCTCTAAAAAGGTTCTCCAAAGTGATACCAATGCAGTACTATCTTTCTGGGGCATCCCCTTTCCACTCCCTACCTGGCACATCACTGCCCTGCCCATGGGACAGTCTCAAGGCTGTGCCACACCTCAGCTGGAGGCCAGATCCCTGCGCACTTCCACCTTTGCCTCCTTGCATTGGGGGTCTCCACAGATCTGAGGTCCCCTTGGGGATGGGAAGGAGGTACAAGGATGGGACATAGAGCTGGGGTTTGGGGGGACAGGATATGCTAAGCCCTGTCCCATGCCCCCAAGCCCCCATCCCAAAAGTTAGTACCTGATGATGCCCTTGATGTTGGCAGAGAGGAGACTGAAGTCCTGCCCAGTAGCTCCCAGACCCGAAGGTGGTTTTGGGGAATGAACACGGGGTACCATAAAGGTGGAGGGTGAGGTGCCAGCAGCAGGCAGGTCCCCAGGCTTCCTGTCTGCTCTTATCTCTTCCCCAGCCCTGCGGGATTGCTGCGGCTTTATCTTGGCTGCCCTGCTGAGCCAGCACCCCTGGCCACAAGTGCTGGGGGCATCCCGCACCCTGCTGTCACCCTGGCACCAGGCCTGGGCTGCTGTGAGCCCCAAATCCTGACGGTCCCCCCTCCAAGGATCTCCAAAGTGATGACAATGGGCTGAACTGGCACAGGGGGCAGGTCAGACACAAACAAGGGGGAGCCCGAACAGCACAGGGATGGGCTCTGCTGCTGCTCTCCGCTCCTCTGCCCCCACCCCTGCACTCCACATGAGTATCCCCATGGGACCCTTACCTAGGTTCAGGACCCCCAGTGGGGGTGAGGGCCTGAGTTTCGGGTGGGGTGTAACACCCAGGTGGTCGGTCTCCGCTCGGTGGCTGTGTCCCAGGGCTAAGTCTGTCAGTGTGGCACAGGAGTGGGAGACCCCACGCCAGCCCCAGCAGGCTCAGCCCCTCCCCGGGCCTCCCAGCCGGGTCACTAATGAACTCAATAATTAGTGCAGCCATCAGGGAGGACAGAGACTTCGTTAATGAGGGGAGGCACAGGGCCAATGAGGGCATGGGGGGGAGGCAGCCAAGAGACCCCCACCTCTCCCCCAGCAAGCCAGTGCCTGCATGTTGACAGCAAGCTGCCTGGGGAGCGGGGAGGGGGGGGTGTCACAAGTCCCCCCACAAGGGCTCTCCAGTCAAATAAGGCCTGACACCCTATTTGGAGTAAACTGAAGCCCCAAAGCTGAGGGAGGGAGGTGTACAGCTCCCATGGTAAATTTACCTCCTCCTTGTTAAGGGACAGGATACCCACCCCTGTGGCACCAGGGACCTTCTCCCAGGAGGAGGGGGAAGGAATTAGGATGGAGGTGCCAGGGCAGCCTGGGGGGGGCTGCCCTGGAGCACGAGGATGTCCCCCTTGGCACCAGGTAAGGAGTGAAATCTCAACCTGGCAACCCAAAGGTGCTCCCCCAGCACTGACCTGCAGCATCCCCCCTTCTCAGGGGATTTAGGGCATCCTAGGGGCTCCCTGTGCCCCTACTTTGCACAGCCACTAGTGACACACGTGTGATAGGAGCCCATGCCCACACATGTACACACTCAGGACTCCCATTTCCAAGATGGTTTGACAGCTTTAATCACATGAAGGCACTTGGATCTGGTATCCCAGCCCTCCCCAGCCCCCCTGTGCCGCCTCTGCACCCCCCAGGCCCCCCAAGGGTGCCCAGCACAGGGGCTGCGCTCCTTGGATGCTGCAGCACCCACAGGTACTCGCTGGGCAGTAGCTGCGCTGGTGCCGTTTGACTTGTCTAATGTAAAGTGCTGAGTTCAACCCTCCTGGAGGGGCAGGATGAGGCCCGGGGCTGGCAGGGATCCAGCGGGTGTGCTGTAGCACCCCCTACCCCACCCCTGGCCAAGGGGCAGGGGTGCAGGCAGGGGTGTGGGCGGGGCTGGGGGGCCCCCCACTTACCCCCAGCACCGGGGGAAGGGCAGCGCCGGCAGGAGCCGGCTGAACAGCACCGGAAAGCTAAAACCCCTCACACCCACCCCCCCAAATACTGCCCCATTCCCTTTGCTGGCACAGCGCTAAAAAGGCACCCATGATTTTTTGGGAAACCATTGTTTTTCCCTCTAAAAAGATATGAGGCATTGTCCGTATTGTGACGTTAAAAAAGGCCTGGTTGAGCTCAGCCCCCTGCTAAAACCCCTCCCTGAGAGCCCCCAGCCCCTCAAGGCTGGGGGACACCCTGGCACCAGTCCAACCCCACGGGGGTCAAGGGTAACCCCAGGCTATGGGAAGGGAGGGAGGCTGCAGTGCCCCCCACCCCTATCCCAGTTGAGGGACTGGGGCAAGGCTAGGGGGGGAAATAAGGCTGGTAAGATGTTCCATCCCTCCTAGGAGCGGCAGCCTTTGGCAAAGCTGCAGATGGATGAGGAGGAGGTGTGTGCCCCCCCCCATGCGGGAGGGGACCCCCTTGTTGGTGACCGGAGTGGCTCCCACTAACACAGTGTAACTGGAGATGGGGGGAGGTCTCCACAACAAGGGAAGAAACTGAGGTTGGAGAAGGGGAGTTAAGAGCCCCCCCAGGCACAGCCCTTGCAGGGCTAAGGGGGCCACAGAGACACAGAGTCTCAAGGCACATGGGGGGCATTTGTGCCCAGCGGCTCAGCCCTGAGGCCAGGCTGCTCCCCCAAAACACACCCCCTATGTGGGGGGGCAGGAGAAGGCACGAGGATGGGCAAGGACATGCCCCCCATGAGGTGATCAGCTGCACCCAGGGCAGAGTTAAGGGTATGGTGGCAGCCTTATGCATCAATAATAAGACTCCCCCATTTTTGTAGAGTGATAAAGTGTTGAACTGTCCTGTAACCCCTGCAGACAGGGGCCAAGGGCCACCAGGCTCTCAGCAGGCAGAGCCTGGATGGAGGGATCTAGTCCCCCCAAAGGCAGTGGAAAACAGCAGCTGCTGATCCCCCCACCCCACTCAGGGGGACATGGAGGGAAAAAGGACCTGAGAACCGTTTTGGGGAAGGGGGACAGAGGTTGGGGGAGGGCAGGGCCTGGACAGTGTGGGAGGATGGGACCCCCCCCAACAGGTCCTCAGCAAGGCAGCAGGTCACCCATAGCCCCCTTTTTCTGTGAGAAGGGGGACACTCAGCTCCCTGGCAGTGGCACCCACATCTCCCACCACCAGCAGGCGGGGAGGGCACCTGCGCCCACTGGGGCTGGCAAGGATGATGGGGGGCACACCGGGACCCCCCTCTCCTCCAAAATAAGGCACCTGGCTCCCCCGCTGGTGCCCCTCGGCAGCAGCCGGCAGGGTGGAGGAGCCATTAGCTGTTAGTCCGCTGCTTCTTGAGCACTGCATACACATCCTCCACCTTGCTGAGCCTCTCGAAGAAGGGCAGCAGATCCAGCAGCTCCGTGTCTGCCATGTTATCAAACCAGGAAGCCACTGGCACCTGCAGGTGGCACAGCAGACTGAGAAACAGTCCCTCACTACCTCCCCTCTGTGCCACACCCAGCCTCACCCCGGGGGTACGTACAGCGTTATCAGGGTGAAAGATGTAGGATGCGGGCGAGTTGTCCACAATAATGATCCGGCGCAGGTCACGGCCCAGACGGCTCAGGTCCTTCACGTAGTTGCCACGATGGAAGACACAGGATTCCCGGAAAAGTCGTGCCCGGAAAGCCCCCCATTTATCCAGCAGGTCAGCCACGGGGTCTGCATACTACAGGCATGGAAGAGGTGTCACTGGGCCACACCATGCCACACTGCCCACCCCACAGTGACAACAGCATCCAGTTCTCCAATGGTGTCAGGTCGCACCATGCCTCAGTTTCCCTGGCCACCGCCTTGGAGAGGCAGGCAAGGAGACTGCCCAATGCTGGTGTTGCCTGCGGGCACGCAGAGGACAAGGGGCTGGTAATGCCTTGCAGGCAAGGGGAGCTGTGCCACCCGAGGGGTGTGTGGGAATCAGGAGGGATGGCAGGGGAGTGGCAGGGGCACCCACCTTGGCCAGGCTGGCGGTGAAGAGCACACACTCGAAGAGCTCACCCATGCGCTGCAGGAACTCGTCCACGTGTGGCCGCTTGAGCACGTACACCTGTGGGCACGGGGCAGAGGGCAGCGCCTCCGGCACCGGTCATCCGGCCCCTCCCAGCACCACCACCCACCCCAGGGGACACCCGTGAGCTGCTCCCTGAGGAGGAAGGGGGGCAAGAGGGCTGCCTGCACCTCATGCCATGGGGGCTGCCCTGTGTGGGCTGGGGGATACCATGGCCCCACAGGGATGTCCGGGATGAAGTGTCTGGCCGGCTCCAGAGCCAAGTAACCAAGAACAGGCTGACTGCCCAGACCACAGCCTATCCTGGATTACTTGAACCCGGGGCTGGCCACTGCAGGAGGGCATTGCACCAGCACCCCCTTCGCCTCTCTGCCCTGTGCGAAGAGGGCTACTTGCCTCTGCCCCCCAAGGTGCCAGCCCTGGCGCCCTGACACCCCAATTACGCCTCAGTGCAGGGCACTGGGACGGCTCTTGGTCCCCGGGGAGGGGGAATGATGCCCCCTCCCACTAGGCACCCACCCCACCGTTACCTGGTGCATGATGCCATCGATTTCCACAGGAATGATGAAGTCGGCATTGTTCACCGGCTGGGGAAGGGCACAGCAGGGTCAGCGCTGGGCAGGCACCACCTGCCCAAATGCTGCCTGCCCTCTGCCCACCGTGAATTCCTACCAGCCCTACAACCCCCTCACAGGGACACCCCATCTAACCCAGACAGGCTGTGCTGGGCATCACTTTGTGGTGAAGAGAGGGTGGTAAAACAGGCAGGGGGATACAGGGCAGTAGGTGTGGGTGGGCCAGGGTGTCCCCCACCTTGAAGGAGCTGTGCACCAGTGTCTCATCCAGGTCGATGACCACACAGAGCTTGCTGGCATCCTGCGGTTTGATCTCAGGCAAGAGGTGTTTGACAGCAGCCTGCACCGGGGGGCACAGAGGGTCAGTGGGGGGGCAAGGGGGTGTCCACAGGGAAGTGACCACCCCCTCATCCTGACTGCACAGAGGAGGCATAGGGGATGGGCAGCCCAGTGCCCCCAGTGCTAGGCTGGGGATGCAGGATTACCTTAGGCAGGGCCCCATTCTCCTCCACCAGCAGTGGGGCGCCAGTGGTGCCGGTGCAGGGCTCCCCGTCATCGCGGCACAGGCAGCAGAAGAGGGACTGGAGAATGCTGCGGCTCCGAGGCTTCTTGGCAGGTGTCTGGGTACCTGTGGGAGGGCAGGAGGGGTGTGAGGGGCACCCCAAGGGTGCTCTCAGCATGGAGCTGGAGGGCAGGTGAGATGGCTTTGGGTGTTGCCCCAAAGCCCCTGCATCCTTATCAGCCCCCGGCACCCATCCGGCTGCCCTTCCTGCCCCACCAAGCGACAGCACCAGGACAGCATCAGGGACACACACGTTTGGCGACCACCACAATAACTGGTGACCACCCACAGCCCCTCGCCCACTCCATGAGTGACCCCCGTGAGCCTGCCCTGCGTGGCTGGAGACCCTACACCCGCAGCACGGGCTAAGCCCGGGGGTCCCCAAGGTCCCACAGACCCCTGGGCAGGGGCCAGGGGGCGGGGCCTCATCCAGGGGGCGGGGCTTATGGCCTTTCTTTGCCCCAGCCCCCGACAGCTCCCTGCTCTCATTGGCCGCCTCGAGCGGACCCGAGGCGAGGGGCCAATCCGGGCGCAGCGCCCGCCCCCAGGCGCCATTCCCGCGGTCCCCATTGGCGGATCGCGGGGAAACTGAGGCACAGGGGCCGTTCCGCCCGCCCCGGCCCGGGGGCAGCGCGGCTGCCCCGGCCCCGGACCACCGGGTCCTGCCGCAGCCCGGCCGGGACCCCGCGGGGCGGGAGCTCCCCAGTGTGGACGGGGCCCGTTCTCACCTTCGCTCCTCCCGGCCCTGCAAGCTCCCCGGGTCGGCGGGCAGCGGGACGGGCAGCGCCCCCCGCCAGACCCGCTCCGCGGGGCCGAGGGGACGCGGAGGACGGCCCCCGGGATGCAGGGGGGTGCCCGGCACTCGGACCCCTTCCTGCCTCAGTTTCCCACGGGCGCTGCGCGCACCGCCCGCCCGGCCCCGGGGGAAACAGCGCAGATACTCCGAGCAGCGCCCCGTGCCTTCCAGGGGCACCCCGGGATTTGGGGAGGCCGGGGGGGCCGGAGCACGGCCCCTCGCACCCAGGAGGGTGCAGACAGCTCCGCTGGCTCAGAGCCGCAGCCCCAGCGCATCTCCCCAGCTCTGGGCAGCGGGCTGCACGGGGGCGGGCTGAGGCGGCCCGCAGCTCATCACACCCTCTGGGAGCAGCCCCCGCAGGCCCCCAGCCCCACCCGGGGACTTCCCCCTCTCTCGTACGGGGTGGGGGGAAAATCCCCCCCGCGTTACCTTTCTCCTGCAGCGGGGCGCTCCCCTCCTCCCTGCTAACCTGGGCGATGATGGACTGGTGCTCCATGGGCGCCGGGGAGGAGGGGTGGGAGGGGGCGGCCCCCCCCGGCGCGGCCCCCGGGGGGGGGAGGCGGGGCGGGGGCCGGCGGCGGCGCGGGGCGGCGGGCGCGGGAGCGGCGCCGCGGAGGAAACTTTGTTACAACATGGAGTTTCCTCCGCCCGGGCTGGGGCTGCAAACATGGATCCCGGGCGCGGTTTCAAGGAACCCCTTAAAAGGGCAACGACGCGGGGGGGGCCCTCCTCCCGGCACCCGCCCCGCTGGGGAGGAGCGCGGGGGTCCCCGCTGAGCCGCGACTGGAGCGGGTGGTGGGCTGTGGTTTGGCTGGGTAGGATCCCTCTCCTTGTGCTATGGTGATCGCACGGGGGTCCCCGACACCCCGCCGGGTTCCTCCAAACTTCCCCGCCTCGACTCAGAATGGAGAGGAGGATCAGTTCTGCTCTCACCCCCATCCAGCTAGCAGCCCTGGGGAAAAGATCCCCCTGCAACTCGCCTCGGCAGATGAGCCTCCCCCGCTTCAGCCTTGCTGGGTGTCTCCTGGAGCAGAGACCCCTGGACTAGTGGCTCCAGGCTGCGGGGTCCCCGGCCACATGTAATGTCGGCTTTTTAACCTAGCAAACAGGTTATAGAATTTATTTTCCGGTTTTCGGTGACATCCCCCCGAGGACACGTCCCCCATTGCCTGGGCAGGCCAGCGGTAGGAAGTGACAGTTGCTGGGGGGCTGCACCAAAAACCGCGTGTCTTTTCCTATTGTTTTTCCTTTCTCCTCCAATTCCCCAATTATTTGGGCAATTAATAAGTCTGTATTATCAATATATATACTCTACTCTGCAATTCTTTCCCTTTTGCTTTTGGGGAACGCGGGGCTGTTCCCAGGCACTCTCCGAAAAGCGCCTGCCTCCCAAGCCCCCCACGTGCGGCATTCTCCAGCCTCAGCCCCCTGCCCACGCAAGCCCTGTGGGGCCCTGGGGGCAGCACCGCACCGCTGTGCCCCCCACCCTCGCTCCAGGCAGCGTCCGGCCCTGGGGGGTTTCTAGCCTGTCGCGGTCACTTCCCTCGCCATCTCGATGGCTCTGTCAGCGCTGCCCTGGGGTTACAGCAGGTTGAAAATTTCCCATCTGAAGTCGTTCAAAATCTTTCCACCTCTCCCGCCTGAAGTTTGGGAACTCCAGGGGCTGAAATCGCTCTTTTCGGCCCGGGACAGATCACGGGCACTGGCGAGGCAGCGATGCTGGCAGTGGCACACTCCGCTCAGCCCCAGGGCTGGGCCGACATGGCACAGCGAGAGCAGCCGCTGAGAATCGCAGTTGGGAGGGGACCCATCCAGCGTGGGGCACAAGGGGATGCAACCCATGCCCACAGGTGACCCAACTGGAAAATGGGGTCTGGCACAGGGAGGTCTCCCACAGAGAACTGGGATGCTGTGGGGCAGGCGGGACTCTGCCAATGCAAAACCCGGTCCACACCTGCGGTCCCCACGCTTCCGGCTCCACGTGTAGCATCCTGACACCACGAGCCACGGGAAGCTGTGGCAGAGACTGGACTGCTACTGGGAACCAAGACATCGCATCCTGCCACCTCCTCTGCCGGCTCTGACAGCGGGCAGCGCTCATGCCTCAGTTTCAGTGCCCCTACTGCGCTGGGCAGGGAAGCAGCCGGCTCCAATGCCAGGTGCCCAGCACTGCCCACCCGCTTGGCAGCAGAAAGCAAAAAAAACAAGCTGCGTTTCTTTCTATTTTGGCCTGATCTGTGTCTTTCTTTATCCCAGGTGGAGCTACACAGGATGCCTGCCTCATCCCCAGCGGCTGGCTGGGCTGGGCTGCTGGGGGATGCTGCTCACAGGGGGAACGGCTGCAGAGGCCACACGCTGTCCTCTGCAGGACCCCCGTCCCTTTGGCCACATTCTGCTCTTTCCTCTCTGATGAACCTTGACGAACCTTGTGTGTCATCCAATTAGTGCAATTAGGAAAGTCTCTCGATCAATGCTTGCAGCGGCAGCTGGAGCATCGTTTCTAGCTCCCCTGTCTGGTCAGGGGCAGATCGGAGAGCTGGGGAGCTCAGGAACGTGCTGTCCCCATCCTGGGGCTGTGGGACAGACTGGGGACAGGGTCTCATCCTGCACGCTCAGCCCAGGCCAGGAGCAGGCAGAGCCCAGTTGGATTGTTTGGGCTGCAGCCACGGAGCAGAAAAGCCCCAGGCTCCCACCAACCTGCCACTGAAGGACCCCTCTGTGCCACCTCACTGCCCCCAGTCTGGGGTCCCGGATGCTGTCCCCTCTTCTCCCTCTTCTCCCAGCTATCCATGGCTGTGGGAGCTCTGCCTCAGGGCCAGGGGGCCACAGAGGGGTCCTGGGGTGGGACACGTCCTGTTGAGAGCTGGGTCAAAGCAAGTGCCTCTGGGCTGGGGGATACCTGGGGCTGAGGGTCCCACCTGGAGAAGAACAAACCCCATAGGCACAGCCCTGCGACCCCCCCTGCTCCTCAAACGAGCCGTGGGGCTGGCCCCTGCCCCCGCAGACCCCAGCCACCCTCAGCCTTCTGCCCGCTAAGGGCCACCCCCATGCTCCCCTGCCTTTGGTGGTCTCTCTAGGTCTCTATCTCTGGGCGAATAAACCCCGGGCAAGGGGTGTCTCCTGCAATCACCATGGCTCAGGCAATGGTCCCCACTACTCCTCCAGTGACTGAATCGGCTGCACCCTTTGAGGCGGGGGCTTCCCCCCGCCTTTCAGTGGGCCCCACAGCCTTGGCCCCTCCTTCAAGAAACCAGAGGCCGGGCCAACGCGGAGGCGGGGGGGAGGCACCGCCCCACCCCGGCTGCCATCGCCCTTTTAAGGAAGGGGAAATTCTTCACATAAACAAGCGCGGCCCCCGGGAGCGGAGGTTGGGGGGTGGTGGGGGGGATGTCCCTTCCCGGAGTGGAGGGCATTGTGTGTGTGTGTGTGTGGGGGGGGAATGTTCGGCCCCCCAAATCCCCTCTCCACCTCCTGGCCGGCGTGGATCGAGAAGCGGGATTTTGGGGTGTGGGGGGGTGCTGGGGAGAAGGGGGAGCCTTGAAACAGCCAGGGAGCGTCTCACAAGTGCGGACCGCGGCGGGGGGCGAAGCGCGGCGGGACCCCCCCACCCGCGGCGAGGGACCGGGGCAGGGGGTGACGGTCGCTCCCAGGGAGGGCCCGAGCGGCCCCGCATCCGCATCCGGCGGTACCGGCAGGCGGGAAACGGGGCATCCGGGGCGGGGAGGGCACGGTGGGACACCCCCCCCACCGCCCCGCTCCCCCCGAGGGAATGCAAAGAGCTGGCGCTGAGCCCCCCTCCGCCCCCATGGCCACGCGTGGGCGACCTCGCCCGGGGCAGAGGGGCCGTCCCCGGGATACGGGGGAGCCGAAAGGGTCCCGAGCCCGCCCGCAGCAGCAGCGAGGCCGAGGCCGGGCTACAAACACGCCATTTATTAGCCGCCCTCCTGTCCCCGAGTTTCGGAGCCCCCCGTGGGGCTGGAGCCGGTCCCAAGGCTCGCCCCGCCGGTGGTGGGGATGGTTATCGGTCCCAGGCGGTGATTAGCGGTCCCCAGCGGTGATTAGCGGTCTCCGGCGGTAATTAGCGGTCCCGGGGGCCGGCGGTTCCCGGCAATAATAAGCAAGGGAGGTCGCCGACGCGGCTCATTCAGGGAAGCGTCTGTGCCAAGGCATGGGGGCACCTCCCGCTGCTATTCCCCCCGCCCCCGCTCGCATCCAGCCTGGACCAGCACCCCTGGACTGGGGGGAGAGGGGGCTGGGCTCTAAAAACTTGAGGGGAGGTCTGTCCGGGTGTTAACCCTTTTCTTGCTGGGTGCATCGCTGGCCAGAACATCATCCCTGGCCTTGGAATGTCAGCAAATCAGTGCCCGATGTGAGGAGGCCGTGCTGGGCAGGTACAGGGCGACAGTGAGCATGGACGGACTCTGTCACCGGGTCCCTGTCAGGGCTGAGGAGTCGAGGGTGACACCAAAATTGAAGCGGCTGTGGTGGCCCCGGGCCAGGGACCGGGCTCCGTGTGCGATGCTACATGTCCAGATCTGCAGGGGCAAAGAGGGCAGGTTAATGGGCACCAACCAGGGATGCTCTCCCTGCCCATCCCACGGTGCCAGCCCTACCAGGTAGGCGACAAAAGCTACATAGGCAGCCAGCAGCAGGCCCAGGGGGATGTGGTACTCCAGGCCCTGCAGCGTCGGCAGAAAGTCCACCACAAAGTAGATGTTGATGGCACAGACCAGTCCCGTGATGAGGCTCATCAGCACTTTCCCTGGGCTGAGGGCAGGGCAGTGGGCATCAGTGCCAGGGCAGGGCCCCCACCCCGTGTGCCTCTGTGCACAGTCGGCTGGGGAAACTGGGTTTGTAGGTGAGCAAGACCCCAACTGGTACATCTCTGCACCCCACAGCTATATTTCACTCCCACCCCAGGGCTTTTGGTGTGGGCTTTGTCCATCCCCCAAGTCCAGGGCTGGGAGTGCCAGGAGGATGCTGAGGACCCAGGGGTGCCCAGGAAGCCATTGGGAGAAGGATGGAGAGGGTGATGACAGGGTCTGTCCCGCTTTGTCTGCGCTGGGCAGGTGGGAATGAACATACCCCTCCAACGTCCAAATGCTAATTGCCCCCGTGGCATGGTTGAGGGGGCCAGGATGGGCCAAAGGGACAGACCTGCAGCTGGACTGCCCCACTCTGTCCCCCTCTGTGCCTCCCATTGCCCTGGCACTCACAGGCTGTTGGTGAAGTCCTGCATGAGCGGGTGCAGGCTGGTGAAGGTGAGGACAGGCAGGACAGCGAAGGGCAGCTGGAAGGAGAGGGGGATGAGGGGGGCGTGGCCACCAGGCTGGGGTGTTTGGGAGCAGGTGATGCCTTCCCTCCCCCTTACCAGGATGCTCTGCAGGACGTTGAGCAGGTCATTCATGCCTGTGAGGTGGCTGACATCCTTGAAAGCGGCCACAAAAACGGTGGGCAGGATGGCAAAGGAGCGGGTGAAGAGCACTCGGGCGAAGCGAGACCAGCGGAGCTGCAGGAAGCCCTGGGACACGGCAAAACTTGCACCCTCGCCATGCCTGAGGCACCATGTCAGGGTGATCCCCAGACACTGGCTGGGAGGAACATGGGGGGCATTGCCCCCTTCTCTGTGCTGACTGGGC